AACGACGAGCAGGGCAGCTCTGAACACTAAGCACAGATCTGCGCGGAACGGGGTGCTCCGGCCTCAGCACACCCCGCCGAGTCTTTGGCAGCTTCCAGGACTTCTATCCTGAGGCAAAGGCGAAAAAGTGGGAGAGGCTGTGTGCAAGGCGGGAGACAGGACCTGGAATGGCTGAGTGGGCAGATGGGGGTGGCCAGTGCCAGGGCCCTGCATCTCCTCCGGCCAAGTGGTCACAAATTCAGAGGTCACCCACGACCCCGAGACCATGCCATAAACTGCTGCAGAGACTGGCCCAAGGGGATGACCTCTCCATGTCTGAGAAGGGGAGCCTGCCTCAGTGTCCCGACTGGGAGGGGCTGCTGAAGACTTGGGGCCGGGCGGTGGCCTGGGGACATGGCTGCTGCATGCTGGAGGCAGCTTCTCTAACAGAAGCCCTCGAGCTGGTGCCCTTAGAAGGGGAAAGAGACACGTTTGCACAAGGAAAGCAACGTGGAAATGACATGAACACCTTTGGTTCTGCTCACCAGGAGCCCTGAGGGCACCTAACACCGTCTCTGTACCCAAATGCAGCCAGCTGCAGGCCACGCCTGGGTCTGTCTCAGATTCAAGATGCACAGCCGCCTTCCAGCCAGGGGCTGCATCGAACCTGGGGAGGGAGCAGCTCAGGGACCTGGATGTTCCTAGGCTTGCGCTCGGTTTGAAAGGGGCAGGGCGAACAGAAGGTGGGAGGGGTCCTGCTGCCGGGCACATGCTGCCCATGAAGGTCTTGTTTTGATCGTGGCTGGGAATGAGGACGTCACGGCCACGATGGGGCCTTCGCCTTGCCCCAGCTGCCCCAGGCCTGCGGCTCAGCTCCCGGCTGCTCACACAGGCCAGGGCCTGTTGTCCTCTCAGGAGTGACCACGCCCATCTGTGTCCACGCAGGCCTCCCTCTGGGGCCCCCGTGCCTGGCTGGCTCCTGGTGATGACCCTATCATGGTCTGCTTGGGGCCAGGCCTCTTTTGGGTTACACCCCATCCCCTGCCTGGGGGTCCGAGGAGGGCCAGGGGTCCTCCCAGCCAAAGACGTGTTGTCAAACAGCGCACCCCAGGGATGTTCCAGGGGACATGGCCCCAAAGTCCAGCCCCGCAACAGTCCCCTGAGCCCCTGGACCACGGCTCTGCTGTCCCCCCGCGATGCCTGTCCACATGGGGGTCCCAGGCTTCACTGCATCAACCAGCTCGTTTCACACGCACGAGACAGAAACAGGAGACAGAAATGGCTCTTCCCGGAATCGAATGTTAGCGGCTAAAGGATCATCAAGGAAAATAACCACCCACGTTCCTGACAAGCCCTGGAGGAGGAAGACATGGGACCGCCCTCTCCAGCACACCGCGCCTGAGATGCACGAGGCGGGGCCTCCCGTTGGATAGAAGCTAGGCTGTTCACATCCCCAGGCACACACAGCGGAGAACGCCAGCACCCGCAACACCAGCGTCTCCTCATGTCCCTCAATCTTCATAAATCTCCGTCTGTCAACCACACCTCTAATGGCTTTTAAATGAGCATTTTATTTGGAACATTTTGCAGGTCACGCTGAAGCTGCCGACGGGGGTGGTGGGGGGGGGTGTCTGCTGTGGGCCTTGGGGAGCAGGCTGGCTCCGCCTCGCCTCGGTGTCCGGCCTGGGCAGGGCGTCTAGCTGCCGGGTCGGCCTCACTGGGGCCTGGTCAGTGGGTGGGGAGGTCTCTGGGTGGCTGGGGCTGCTGGACCTCCTTTGGCTGAGCTGCTATGATCTGTAGGGGTAGGGGGAGCTAAGCCCAGGAGGCTGGGCACCATCCCTATCATGGGCCTTGACATGCCCACAGGAATGCCTGGCCCAGGGAGGCCAAGGGGTGTCCCTCCGGTGGGACAGCTGGGGAACCCCAGGGTGTCGTGGGCTCCATGGCGCTCTTGATCCCTCCCAGGGTCAGAGCTGCACCCACACTGACTGCCGGGGCCTTGCAAGATTTTCAGCTATGAAGAGGGGTCCACGGATGTTGCCTATATGTATTTTCAGCCTGGAAAATACTAGATATTCTTTCCTACAATATAAACTACAAAGTCCCCCAGCCCTCTCAGCCCTCTACCCTGCAGTGAGAAAGCTTTAGCTGTTTGTCTTTAGTCCCTTTATCTATAGACATCTGTGCTGAAGAAGACCAGATGGTCCCAAAGCCACCAGGAGCCCCTCGACCCCGTCGGAAACCAGAGGGAGTACGGACTGACACGGAACCAGTGCAGGCCAGAGCAGGTAGCCTATGGTCCCCTTTAGATCCCCAGCTTATCATTATAGTAAGAAAACCCCTGCCCTAAGGGAAGACTCTGCCACGCTGTACGCTAGATGTGTGAAGAGGTGTGTTCATGGACAGTGTCTGCGCGTCTGGAACCCTCCGCACCCCTGCATGCCTCCCCTGCAGGCACCCAACCCTGTGAACACCTCCCCCTTCCCGGTTCTCCGGTTGCTCAATAGAACCAGCTGCCTCTCCAATTGGCCGTTGCTCCTTCGCGGCCAATACAGAGTAGGGAGAGAACAGTTTCCTGGGGCCAGCATGCAGCCAGCCACGCTCCTGCACTGGGACTGGAGGGCGAGGCCCCATCAGATCTCCCTGAGCATCGCCACTGCCCTTTCTGCCCCATGCTTTCCCCGTCACAGACCAGCAGCTGCCGGTTCGCAGATGGGGCAGCCTGTGGGCTCTAGGTGACCCCTGCCCCTGCCCCTGCAAGGGGCCATCCCAGAGGTGCTGGCGCCCACGGGCCTGACCCTTGCTCGGCTGTCCTGTCCTCTCCTTGGACACAGCCGGCAGCCGTGCCATCCCATCTGTACCTCTGGAGCATCACGCGTGCAGGAGTGTGTGGGCAGAGGCTTGTACGCACCTGCTCCGGTCAGACCACCTGCTCTGCCAAAAGCTGTGCAAACACGCTGGAGAGGCGCCTGCCTGTGGAAACCAGCCGCGCACAGGTGTGTGTGTGGGAGGGGCAGACGGGGGGTGCCCTCTCTCCCCAGGGCAGGCGGGGACCCCAGGCTACAGAGGAGATGGGGGACGGTATCTGGTTCTTCCACATCTGTGTGGGCCTCACTAACAGCACTCCTGACTCCGTCATGGGCCCACGGATCATCTCCCTAGCTGAGTGACAGGACCAGGGCCAGGCGCAGCTCCTCTGCAGAGCCTTGTCCGAGCGCAGCGGGCGCTCGTTCCTGGCCACTGGAGGGCGGCAGGGCCTCAGCAGATCCTGCAGTCCTGGGGTGAAGGTGCTGGGACTGACCGTAGCTCACTTGGAGCCCCGGGCATTCTGGCCAACATCACTCTAAGAACGTTTATGTAAATCCTGCATCAGAAGTCCCCGCCTGTGCCATCCGTGCCAGCCCTCACGCTGCCTGCCACGTGACTCCATCTCGATCCCTGGAGTCCGAGGCCATCATCACCCTCCCGTCTCTCAGATGAAAGGTGCCACGGCTGAGACTGACAATGTCCCCTGCTGCGCAGGTCTGAGTCCCGAGCCCCTGCCCACCCCGGGGCCGCCTCGCCTCCCCCGCATGCCACACACTGCCGAGAGTTACCTCCCGAGTGGCCTCTCTGCCCCCGTGTGCTATCCTGAGCACCACCCCTTACGATTTAGGAATTTCCAGGAAAACCCGTTTGTGCTGTTCCCAGGGACGGGGACGGGTGGCATTTTCCAGGCTGCAGCTTGGCTTTGGTTGATCTGAAAGGCGGGGATGAAGACGGCACCGCAGGTGAGTCCTGGTTTTTGGAGCTGAGGCAGAAACTGGAGGCCCACAGCCCCAAACCAGGAAGAAGAACCTGCCACTTCCTTGCCAGCCCCAGCCCTAAAAGCGACACCAGCAAGCCCCGGTGACCAGCTGGCAGCCCCAGCTTGCAGTGGGGTCCCCGCGCACCCAGAGCTCGAGGGCTGTGACGCACTCAGAAGCCGCTGACTCGGAGCGGGAGAGTCCAGGCCAGCAAGACTGAGGAGCTACCAGAAAGTGGCACTGTGGCCTCTGGAAACGAGCCTCCCGCAGGCAGGACCTGCTGGCTCTGAGCCCAGCGAGATGGTTCTACTGGCTCCTGGGAGCCAAACGCCTTAGAGGGTAAATTACGTCTGGAATGACGCTGACTCTGTGGGCACAGTGCAAACAGGAGACCAGACAGCGAGACCTGGAGACGGGGAAGGCCGGCGATGCCCTGTCCTGGGCGCCTGGGGACTCAAGGGGCTGCTGGGGGGGCGCTTTCAGCCCCAGGAGCTGGTGGTGAATCTTCCAGGGACACACGGCCCAGCGCTGGAGATGCACCTGCACTTGGCAGGCTTCAGAGCAGAAGCAGGCCCCGACCTCACCCACCGCCCAGGGCGTCCCTCTGGGGTCTGTCTCTGAGTGGGGCGTGCACTGGAGATGAAGAGCGGGAGGGAGGCCTCTGTCACAAAAGCCTCGTGGGGCCGCAGGACAGTGCAGGAGGTGGGGGTGCATGGAACCCGGCACCAACCAGCAGCCCATATATTTGGCTGTGATGGTTTCTGGCTGTGTGAAAAGCCCTGCTTTTCCATGTCCCCTTCGTCACAGCCAGGCCGCCGCAGCCTAGGTGGGGTGGGCCTCCTCGAAGGCGCCACGTCCAGAAGGGGTGGGTTTCAAGGCAGGCGTGTGTGTTCAGGTCCTGAGAGGGGCCGTCAGAGCACCCCAGATACCGAGTGCCGCTGTGGCTAGACCCCAAGACCCCAGCGGGTGGTCCCTGCTTTTCTGAGGCCTCCACCCATAGCCACACACACCAGCAGGGCCTGTTCTGGAAATCTCACAAGGCCTCGCCCACAGCAGCCGGTGGTGAGTGCTCCAGAGCCTCCTTTGCTGAATCTGTCCCATGGCAAGAGAGTGACACTGGGGAGGTTTCTGATCATTCCCCGACTGTGCCACGAGAGAGGCTCCCCGAGGGTCCTGTGGGCGTCCTGCGGGGACCAGGAGCTCACCCGCCTGCACACAGACCCCGCCCTGCCTCACCTCTCGGTCCAGGCCAGCCGCCACTGTGACGATGTCTCCAGTCTCGCTGTTGATGGTGAACATATTCTGGGACGGGCTCTGCGGGGTCTGGGTCACGATCCGGTACCGCACCATCCCGTTGGCCGTGGTGCTGTCGTCAGCATCGTTGGCCGTGACCGTCATCACGTAGGTTCCTGGAATAGAGACAGCAGCTCAGATGGGGACAGCCTGGCCCACAGGCTGCTGCCCCCGCACACACCTGGGCAGAGCCCCCTCGACCGCAGAGCTCTCCGTGAGTCTGGCGTAGTGGAACCCTCTTCCTCTTGGTGTACTCAGAGGTGGTGTCAGTGCACCTGCTGACTCTGCCCCCACTTTATAGAATCATGGAAGGATTTCTTCTAGAGCTTGAGGTTCCTTTGAGGTCATCTGCTCTGACCTCTTCCTTTTTCAGCTGGGGAAAGACCAGGCCTCAGAGGAGGAAGAACTTCTCTAAGCTTCCAGAGCATGGGGCAGCAGACCAGGCCTGGAGCCGGGTGGCCTGAGGTCCCGACAGTGCCTCCAAGTTGCCTCCACTCCCACATACAACCCAGCCTGGCTGGGCTTAAAGGGAGGGACTCAGAGGCACTGAAGCAGGGCCTGGTATAGGTCTGGATACATAGAAGCTGTATAATAAACACCGCAGAGGACACAGTGGAAAACAAACCTCGAAGGGACCGCTTAGCAGGGAGGCTGTGCCTATGGGACTCAGTCAGACGGAGCACATCTGGGGGTGCCGTGGGACTGGGGGCTGCTGGCATTTCAGAGGGGCTCAGTGAGCTGCCCATGCGCTCTCTCAGCTTGGTGCCTCAGTTTCCCCATGGACACATTGGGGTTGAGGTCTACGGTGCACACTGGTACGTTCCCCACTTCCTGAGAATGGCATTTGGCTTCCCCTTGGCCGAGCAGCCTTTCCTGCCCTGGGGAGGGACTGCATCAGCACACCCCACCCTGTGGCCTCAGGGCATCCCCAGGTCTGAGGACCAAGTTCTGCTGGGAGCAGTGGTGGGTGGGGGCTTTAGTCACTGCCTAATGAGCACCAACTCTGAGCTAGCACTGTGCCCGGTGGAGGCCCCTCTCTGCGAGCTCCTAACTGCTGTCTCCTGATGCTGGCACGGCGGTGGGCTCTCCCACCTGTAAGTCCTGGGGCTGGACTCTGCCCGCACCGTTCCGTGGTTTTCCTAGCCCAGCGGTCTGTCACACTGTGTGGCGCAGGCTCATCCTTATGTGGACGGAGAGCACTTGAAGGTTGCTCCCAGATACCTCTGAAGAGTTTGAGGTGCCTGGCCTCTGTAGTGTTGTCACGCACGAGAGGGCTGGCTGGTGCCGTGGTTGCTGGCCTTGGGAATGGCGCAGCCTCCCCGGCCTGCCCGCAGCTCAAGTGCCGTCCCCTGGCTGACGGGGCTGATCTGGTGCATGGGCGGGGGCCTTAGTAGACGACCTCCTGATGGTGGCTCATTCTCTGTGTGCATGAGTGAATGGGACTGCTCACTGAACATGGCGGTCCAGCTTGGCATCTGGTCAGCAGATTCTGTTCTGCAGTCTGGAACGTTCTTCCGCTCTTCCTCCACCTGGCCGACTCCTCCTCATGGTGCGCACCGTGGGTGATTGCCCCAAGACCCTTGCCCTGGCCTTCTGGACTGATGTCCCTGGTGGTCCCTTGTGCATTCCTCGGTCTCTACCTGCATTTGAGAACAGTGCTGTGTTGTAGCTAATGTCTGTGTCCTCTGTGCGATTTACATGCCGACAAGGGTGGGGCTGGGGCCGTGCTGTCCCTGTGTGACCTTGCACTGAGAGTGCCTTGCCGACCATTTGCCAGACTGTTGCCAGAAGCCCAGGTGGCAGGTCAGGTTCTCACGCTCCCAGCAGATGGTGCAGGGTCCCGCGAGGATGCTCCGTGATAGCACTACTTTATTTTCCATGACGTTCCGAGCAGGCAGTGGATGTATGTCCCCCGTCGCCCCTCTCTCGCCTATGTTGGCCGTTCCGCCCTCTCCTCTGTCAGCCCTGCAGAGAAGACCCGCACTCTGGCCTTCCACCCAGGCAGGACAAGCCCAGCTGGGATGCAGGGGAACCTTGGGTGTGTCGGACTAGGAGTTTGCTTCAGCTTTCAGCTTCTACTGAATGCAAAATTCTCCAAGCAGACACGTTTCATGAAAACACAGAAACGCAAGCAGAGGCAGGAGCATGTTAGAGAGTACGGCATGTGAATTATAGGTCAATAAAATAGATGCATTTATGTGGTGAGCAAACGGGTGGGAGGGGCCACGGCCTGGTGACCGTCAGCCTCTGGAACTGGGGACCCCACCCTGATGATCCTTGCCCCCATCACGATGTCCCCACCACTTTAGAGCACAACAAGCCTGGTCCCAACCATGCTCCCCTCTAAAGAGACAGCCCCGTGCCTCTGCGCTGGCTTTCCTCTGCATTTTCCTAAGAGGGAAACCTGGAAGTGCCGCACCCTAGGAGCGAGGGTGAACTGGGAAGACACAGTCCTAACACACACACAGAGCTAACTGCTCAGGCTGAGGTTCTCTGTGGTTGTCAGTGTCCCCTACTAGCAGCAGAAATAAATCATTCATGGAGAGGGATAACATCACACACAGCCTCCTTTTTAAAAGAGCACAAAACTTTCAATGTGGCAATGAGAAGACTTCAAGCTGGCTTCTCAATAGGACCGATGGAAGCTGGAAAACAATGGAACACGAGGAACTCACGAGGAACCTGGAGTTCATTACTCAGTGAAAAAAACTTTCAAAAATAAAAGTGAAAAATAGACACTAAATGTGATAAATGATAAAACAAAAAAATTACCACCTGGAGACCCACACTAGAGGAAATACTAAGGTTGTTTTCAGGTGGAAGGAAAAGGATTCTAGAGGGCACCTCGGAAATGCAGAAAGACATGAGGAGCTCTGTCTCTGTCCCTGTCTCTCTCTCTCACAGGTACACACACACACACACACGCACATAGCTCCCATAAATATACATATACATAATGTTTATATAAAGGATAAATATACTGGTACATCTAAGGAATATGACTTGTATAAACAAAAATAACTTTGCCTTGTGAGGGTTTTAAAGCTGCTTATGAAAACATCCAAACAAACGCCTGCAGAATTTCATTTGCAAAGTGGACGGTGGGTCTGACCAGGGCAGCGTTACTGATGTTCAGCCTTCGTCAAGCCAGTCATCCCCGAGCAGGTGAGGCCAACGTTGGCGCATCAGGCACTATTTGAAACCACCCATCTCTACGACAGGGCAGCGCTGGGAAAGTCATGGGGTTGGTGGTGACTGCATTTGGCTCATCTGGTTCAGAAAGTCAAAGGGAGAAACCACTCCAGCTTCCCGAAGCACTCACTGTTCCCCTCCACCCGCGGCCCCCGGCGTTTTTGTCTGTGAAACCTGTGAGGATCCACGTGCCTGGCACAGAAGGGGGCCCTGCAGCTGTGACGGTGGGGGTGGCAGGGTGATGGTAGGGACATGGAGAAGGTGGAGGGAGAGAAGCAAAGCCCTGACCAGTGAGGGAAGAAGGGACCAGGCGCCGTCCGTTGTACTCACTGAAAGCAGCACGGCCGGCCTGGTTTATGAGAATGATGGTCTCTTGGGCTGGATGGGGATGTGGAGCCCTTCTGACTGCCTTGGTCTCTTCCTCACCCTGCCCCAGCCCCTCACCGCCATTCCTGGGCCCCCACCCTGCGCCCAGCTGGCCTGAGGGCCTCTTGTGCATGGGTTTGTCACGTCTCAGAGAAATCTCACAGGCGGTCTGTTGCCAATGTGCAGGAACTCGGGCCAATCACACATCGGACAGTGGTGGAGCAGGGCTGGGGTCCAGGATCTGGGCGTGGAGCTCTTCTCCACTCAGCTCTACTGGCTGGGGGAGGTGGAGGGATAGCGAGTCAGCCCAGGACTCATCAGCACCTCAGGATTACTGATCCGCTGTGAGGCAGAGACCCGCGTGCTCCCTTTGAGCGCCTGCCCTGGTCCATCACGTCACTGAGAAATCACTTTATCAGAATGGCTGAGAACCTCCCACCACAAATGCCCCTCTCCTCCGCCTCCACGGGGCTCAGATAACCTCACGATATCACGTGAACCCCCTGCCCACTGGGGCCAAGCTCTCCCCACTCGGGACGGAATGCAGGATGGTGTTTCCAGCTGATCTGTCCTGAAGGACTCTCCAGTTCTGGAAGGCCAGGCAGGAGGTCTTCCCCCGCCAATCCCTTGGCAGGAGGGGCCCGCTGCTGTGTGATCTCATGTATGGAGGAGCACCAAGACCCCTTGGAGGCCTGGGGACCAGGGCGTGGAGGAGAGAGGGCTTGGCATTGAGGAGGGGCCAGGTGGGATGTGTGGAATGGGAAGTCAGACGGTGGCTGGAAAGAGACGTTTGGAACCCTGACTGTGGCCACCTCCTTTTCTGACAGATGGGGAAACTGAGTCCCACGAGGAGGAACGTGGCTGGGTCCAGTGAGCTCTGCTAGAGCCAGACTGAAAGCAGCCACACTCTCCTCCAGGGTCCAGCAGACACTTCCTGTAAAGCGCCAGGCAGTACGTATGTCAGGCTTTGCAGTCACACATTCCCTGTCCCAACTCCTCAATGCTGCACAGAAACAGCCTGAGAGGACGCGTCCAGCCATGGGCACGGCTGTGTTCCCATCACACCATTCACAGAAGCAGGTGCTGAGCTGGGTTTGGCGACCCCTGCTGTACGCTCTTTTATTGGATTTCAGGGACAACGTTGGTTTTTAAAAACACAGGGGAACCAATATAGGGTTGCCAACTTCTAGTTCTACCAAGGGAAGACTTTAAAGTACACATCTAGCTCAAATGTTTCATGAAAGGAAAATAATATTTTACCACTAAAATCACAGGAAAGACTTAGTCTCAGAATAAAGGCCAGTCCTTCATTCAGTAAGTTGAGCTCCTTGAAGGCACTTGCCACATTTGCCACATTTAGAGGCTTTGTGTGTCCACCACAGCCTGTGAGCTGCGGGTGCCACGGCCGGAGGCGTGGCTCAGTGGGGGCCAGGTGTGCCTGGCTGGGATGGGGCTTCCCCACGTGTGCGCAGAGCTCCCCATCTCCTGCCCTCTCCCCAGGAATACACGGTGGGGAACCAGGCGATAAGAGGAGAGGCACCCCCAGCACAGGAGGAAA